CCCCCCCCCCCCCCCATGTAAAAGCAATAAAGTTAAGTCAAAAACAAAAAAAAAGTTTAAAAATGTAAAGTAAAATCAAAAATACCCCCCCAAAAAATTGAAATTGCCCTGCCCACAACAAAAGTTGGGTACGAAAATGCCAATTGCGCTACACATGTTGGGTATCGCCGTTTGCGCCAGTTACAACTGTAATTAAAAATTACTGGCTCCTAACTTCTTTAGCTGACTCTTTGTTGCAAAGCAAATTTGTCAAGCCTTGGCTAAATGTAAAACTTTTTTTTAGATTTGGTTAGCAACACAAATCTCAGTCATGTTTTTATTGCTGTCACACCTAACAGCGATGGCTGTTTACATATAAGCGTTCAGGCGTCCGTAGAGACGCCCGATCGCTTGTAATTGCGTGCGTGTGTGCGGCCCCCCCTCCGCCGCAGCCGCTGCTGGCGATCCCGAGCTCCGCTGTGCCCGGTGCGAGCCCGGGACCAGCACAGCAGCTCTGCGGCCGGAGTTCAAACGGAGCTCAGTACACGAGCTCCGTTTGATCTCCTCTTCTGAATGCAGACAGTGATGTGTATTACATCACTTCCTGCATTCAGTGTCACTCTCCGGTACAGAAACCGGAGAGAAGCTGGTGAAGCAGGTCTCTGCTTCATCAGCTTCTCTGGGGGTCCCTAGGTGACATTAGGGGTCTGGAAGACCCCTGATGTCTCCATAAAGAGGACCTGTCACTGCAAATTGGCTATCACATAGGGGGCTTGTTTTGTTTTCTCCCTATGTGATAGCAATAAAGGTAAGTGGGAAAAAAAAGGTTTAAAAAAATGAAAGTTAAAAAAAAAAAAAAAACATTAAAGTTACATATTAAAGCAATAAAAAAAAAAAATTTTTAATGAAAGTCCCCCGCCCCCACATGCGTTAAATACCACCAAAAGAAAGCTCTATGTGTCCCCATAAAATGGTATAAAATTAATTCCATGAGAAGAGTACAGCGTTGCATGAGAGAATAAATGTCAATCAAGGTACCGCAGCGCTGAATACTGAAAAATGGCCTGGACAGGAAGGGGGTATAAACACCCCGGTCAGCAAGTGGTTAATGACATTACATCACTGAAATCTATTCAGCACTGCAAAGTAAATAACTGAACAAGGGAATGCAAGAGTACGTATTCTGATCCCCACAAATTGGCCTTCATTGGTTACTGTTTTCTAGGGTTATGTATGAAAATGTGAGTTGCCTTTGTGAACTTATCAACCTTGAACTTGCTAATCTACAGTGAATACTGCACTTCACCGCTACTGGATTAGTATCCGATGTCTATTTCATATGTACTATATTTGTGTTATTTACTGAAACTCAACATTTTAGTTTCACAAGATGCTTTCTGTAAAATGGACCACATTAAATATACTAGAAGGAGTTTGGAGTCAAGATGGGCTAATGCAGAGTTCATTAAGTCCTGGGACATTCGGTGAGAATGTTGGCAAGCGTCTTTTCAATCCTTTACTGTAAGCATGAAAGGGACTTTTGTGCTGGGAGTCGCATGACCGTTCTCTGTTTTTAATTTATTCACTTCCTTATTTTGCAACTATTTATATTAAATTTCTTATTTTTCCTTGCTGGTTTCAGAAGGTGAGGTTTGTCATGTGAAACACCTTCTCTTTTCCTTGCCTCTAGCTTTGACTGATCAGTTCCCCAGTGTTAGGCTGGGCACACACCTTACAACCATCGCAAGACTTTTGTCTTGCGATGGTTGTAAGGTACTTAAAAAAACGTACGATCTGGCCATCTTGCATAGGCAGATCGTACTTGCGATCGCAAGCCACGCCCCCTGAGAGGCGGGCTTCCGATGACCGCAATGCCGAACGGGCAGTACGGCTTTTATCGTATGAACATGCCACAAACCCGCCGAACATCGTACGATGCTCGGCGGGTTTTCGAACATGTCTTACAGTAGTAGAGGTCGCAAGGCTTCCACACACCTTACGATAATCGTACGATCGCGGGATTTCCCACGATTATCGTACGATTATCGTAAGGTGTGTGGGGACCTTTACGCTATTGGACATTTTTGTCTATGAAACAATGAACTGCAGTTCCTAAGCAAGCCCTTTGGAGCCAAAGCTGTATATAAGACATTATTTTATGGGGCTGGTGTGTACACTGGAGTAAAGAAGTGGACTACTGATTTCAACATTAATCTTGCTACTAAAAACAATGGAGACATTCTGTCACTCATAGAACAGTCCACACTTGCACATGTTCCTGGTTTGTCCGAGATGGTCCTGCTTTGAGATTTGTTTTTCTTGCATGTAGTGCACCTGCTGATGTATGGTGGTATCACCGCTTCTGCATTTAGATATGATATAGGTGATTAACCTTTCCTTGTGACCCCAAAAGCCATTGTGCCAATTTCCAGGACCCCAAGCCAACAGAACTGTGTAATTATGTGCTATTTAACTCTAGTAGATGCTTTATTTAAAGCGATACAAACTCAGAAGGTAAAATCTTAGAAATGCATTCAAGTACATTAAAATGTATTTCCACTTTTGCAGTCAAGTTTTGGTGCACTATATGATCATTATATGTTCCAATCACACAGCATACTAAAAAATACATTTTTAAAAATTCTTACCTTTTTTTTTTAGATTTTGTGTTAAATCAGGGTAGGATGACTGATTCCAGGTTTTTCTGAGCCCTGTCACAGTGGCCTGGCTGGCCTTACTGGCTGGAAGTTGGAGGATTGTGTTTATCTGATAGACTTCATTAACATACAATGGACAAGCCACCTCTGAATGGACAAGACCCCTCACAGCCCCTCCTAACATTTAAATAAAATAGAAGAAATGTTAACCCTTTAAATAACTTTTACTTGGATTAAGATTTGCAAGATTGCAAGAAGGATTTTTTTTAAGCTTATGCAATGCGAATGGGAACATGCAACAAATATAAAATAGTTGTTATCCCAATTTGGCTGCCAAAGTGGAAATACACTTTAACTATTAACACAAATGTAGCATATTTATGTATCACTTGGTTGCAGATCCTCAAATCATCTCTGAATTGGTGCTGACACTGTCCTTCCTTCTGGAGGGGGGCTACTTTTGTCCCTTATGGTCCCTGTGTGTGTTGTAAAGTAGTCACGCTCCAAGCTCACTCTTGTGATGGACTGCACTACAATACAAACTAAACGTGAGATTGTAGTCCATCACGGGAGGGAGCTTGCATTGGTCGCTACTTTACAACAGACACAAGGACCATGGGGGACAAAAGTAGCCACCCTCCAGAAGGAAGGACAGTGTCGGCATCAATTCAGAAATAATTTGAGGGTCTACAGCTGAGTGATCCACAAATAAGATACATTTTTGTTAATAGTTGGGGTACTTGAATGCATTTTTAACATTTAACTCCTGAGTTTACTGTCCTGGATATGTTTTCCTTTTAGATGAGATAGTATAAGGCAGGGTAGTAACATTTTCAACTGAAGAAAGTTATCATGCTCCCTTTTGTGGACTCTTATCCAAGTATTTTAAGTTTTACCAGAATTATGAGTACTGAAAGTGACTGTAGTAATGTCATGGAGTACTTGGTATATAGTGATGCATACGATGGGTACTTGTTAGACACCAGTACACCCATGTAAAGCTGAGAAACAAGGTTAGTGAAAAATGCAATGCGAGATCATAAAAATGCTTGTATGTATGTATGTGTATGTATATATGTATATATA